ACATCAGTGATGACTTCAAAATATATGCGTGGCTATACTGGGGAACAGAACGAAACTAGGACCATCAAAGGAAGTGATTCTGGTTAAATATGAAAGAGAGTTTTCTGTCAGTCTAAAGAAAATTATCTTTCCCCAGTTTAAATGCTCTCCTGAGACAGTTTGGGGGGAAGCTTCTTCATCAGTAATTTTTCTGAATCCACGTGCCAGGTATCCAGAGACATATAAAACCCAGCATTCCTACACCTGTAACCCATTTTCCTTTTTTACCTGCTCAGGCAAGATGAAGCCCAACTCCACTTGCACTAAGACCCTCTTTTAGGAAGGCAGAGGGAACAAAGAGACACTAGGGGGCGCCATGCTCAGGTGCTTAGCATTTGCAGATCCCGGGGCATCCAGCCAGAGTCCCCTCACCTCCCACGCGCTCCTGGCCTGTGCTTCCTGTTCGCTGGAGGCTGCCTTTTGGAAAACGGCCGCTGCCTGCCTGTCACTCCTCTTATCTGTATCCTGTACAGCCTGCCTTCCCTCTGTTGGCCCAGGAACTTACAAAAGACATAAAACCATAGTCCTCTAGGATGTATCTGCCATACTGGCAACCATGCTAGGGCTTTGCTGAATAAATCCTGAGAGTTTTATGAACTCTTATTCCTGTCCTGCCCGCCCCCCATCGTTAGACTCTGATGGGAAAAAGAGGTTTGGGACCAGGAGTTTGGGGATGAGGAGCTGAGTCCTTTGGGAACCAGGTCTTAAGCGGCAACTACAAGCAGGGAATTGGGATGTGAAGGATAGAGTGGTTGAGATAAGAACTTGCCCAGGAGCCAGAAGCCAAGGATCTGGTGCATAAGCCTGACACACAAACATGTTTGCAAATGTAGGAAGGGAGTCTGTGGGCAACCTCCTTTATTATAATAAGAGCTCCAATGTTTTGAGAGCTTTCTGAATGACCTAAAGTACTGAAGTTCTTTATATATTTTTTCTCATTGAATCACCTCCCTTAGATACAGATGAGAAATTCTTTGGAGGAGAAACTATGATGTCCACCTTGTAGTGAACAGACAGAGGGATGAAGCCCAGCCCAAAACCACACGGTAGCCCCTGATGCTGATGACTCGCCACTGTCTCCACACACTGCTGAATGCGACTATAGTTACTGATACCTACCCTAAGTAAAATCCCTGATAATTGAGTTCGGCAAACTGTTAACTTTTTTTTAACAAATATATTTATCTCCTACAGCATACAGAGTTCAAAGGAAATTAGTCAATGTAACTTGACACATCGAGGTTGTAGATAAGATCTTAGGAATAAAATCATTCACATCACAAGCAGATTTCAGTACTAGCTCTGCCATTTACTATTTGTGTGACCCACCCATTAAACAAATACTAACCTCCTGCTATTCTCCACAACCATACTGGATACTATGTACAATGGTAAATAAGGCAAACGTGTTTCCTGCCATTGCCAAGAGTTCATTCTACTTACGTGGTTGTTACAAGAAAATAGGCATCTCTAAATGTACTAATTTGAGTAATTTCTAAGAGATGTGTGGCAAAGAAAAGGCAAAACAGTGCACAAAATGTGACGCAAATTAATTTTTTAATGCTGTACAAACAATACATATAAATAAGCATATACTTATTTTGTTATACTTTGTTATATATATGCCTATATTATCAAAACATACTTTGTTATATATATGCCTATATTATCAAATTGCCTCTAGCATACACAAGAAACCCGTAAGAGCAGTTGCTTCTGGGAAAGACAGATGTGTGCTTGGCAGCCAGGAATAGGAGGGCATGTTACAGATTGCTACTGGTATACCCAATGCCCTTCTCCCATTTTTCCTTAATATACAAACCAAGGTTTTATTTGGATATCCATGTATAATGCCAACTACTACCTCCAAGATTGCAAATGTTAGCTGATGTCATTTAGTGGGGTTTCCAAGAAGACTCTTTAATGTGAGCTAACTCAGCTGAGAAAGGAAGGTCATTTGTCCTCACTCCCTCCTAGTGGAATGGGCACAGGATTGATGCCTGAATTTCTAGCAACCACCTTAAACCATCAGCAACATTGGGAATGAAAGTCAAATTCTAGGCATGGTAAAGCAGAAAGAGAGAAACCAGGGAAACTGCACTTCCAGTCCTGGATGTCCACCTCCAAAACTTCTTTATGTGAAAGGAAAAGATTTTTCTCATTTGTTTAAGCCATCATTATTTGGATTTTTTTCTATTATATGCAGTAATACTATATACAGAGAATGAATTACTTCTACTGAATACCTATTTTAACTTTAAAAATTTTGAACCATGTATATATACATTAGCTATCTTTAAATATTTAAACATTTTTATTCTTTGGATTATCTCAATAAAAATATAAAATAAATGCAGAAAGCTTTGGTAATTATACAAGAGAAAATATATAAATCCTGTCATATGCCATCACAGAGCATTGTGATGGGAGCATTACATTAGATAAGGTGGATCAAAAAGGCCTCAGCCAAGAGAGATATTAATAAGAGGAAAAACAAGAGTAGTAGATGCAGAAAAACTGGTCAGAAGACTATTCCCTGGTCCAGACAAGAGATGATGGTGGTCTGGACCAGAACGGTGGTAGAGGAAATGGATTTGAGTGGACAAATATGGAAGAAGAGTCATGCATGTATACTGCTGAATTAGAAATGAGATATTCAGTGTAGAAGTATGACTCTGTCTTGGACAACTTAGTGGATATGGGCCCATTTACTGTAATAGCATAACACAGTAAGATTTATGGGTACTACTAAGTTTACATTTGAAGCTTGTGATGATAAATTTAATGTGAAATCCGTAAGTTTATGTACATGAATTTGTTCTTAGCAAGTTTCAGTCTTTTGCAGAGGAGACAAATACTTAGATTTATATGGAGTGTTGGCTTTGTTGAGCAACTACAATGAAAGAGAGAACAAAGCAGGTCAGATTATTTCAAAGAGAGTAACTACATGATGGGCCATCAAGTCTAACTAGATAAGGAATAAAGTCAAGACAAGAGAAGAATGAATAACCACATAAAAGGGATTCTGTCAATGGCTTGGTAGCCTTGATGTCCAACAATTTTGACTATACTGAGAAAAGTTGAAAATTTGAGCCTGAAGTAAGAAGGTGACAGTCGGAATGTAAGATATTTTGAACCTAAATTTTAGAGGTGAATCGACCACAAAAATAAGGTAAGTCAAAAATTGGAAGTTTAAGCCAGAAAGGTTAAGTTTTGAGAACAGGCTAAACTAAATACTCAGCCATCTCCCATGTTCCAAGTAATGGGGCTCTACTATATGAAAATGCCATTCTGATGAAAAACGTATATAAATGAAGTAATTAATCATTATAGAAGGAGACACATACAGTATAATTACTTAAATTAAGGATAAATCTAAGGAGAATTTGGAGGAGGTTTAGACTTCAGGCAAAGAATATGTTCAAGAAAGAAATAATTTGAGATATGAATCTTTAGCCTGTAGTACAGCACACTGATATTAGACAAATAACTTAATTAGGTAATAAATAATTTATTTAATTTCCTCTTTGTCTCATCTGATCTACCTCTAGACATAATTGCCTAGAAGCTACCTTATATTAGCACATGAGAAGAAACTCTCCTGGTGCCCTTTACAATTTTGTTTAGAATCGGTGTAACTGTAGCAGCCTGTTGCATAAATGTAGCTTCCTGTCACTTTATATTGCACAGGAGGATTGGTCCATCCATGATAGAGTAATAGCTTTATTAAAAGGTGTCCTGTGGTGCCCAGAAGTTCAAGACTCTTTGCTCAACTGTGCCTGATTCTCCTTTGAAGTGCAGCCACAGTTTCTGTTGGTGGCTGTGGGCAGGGCTGCCTTTCTGTCTGTCAGTCTTTATCAGCAGAGGTTGACAGCTCACTTGAGTGAGCCCTTTCTGGGAGGCACTTCTGCTGGGATCATTATGGACAGGGTCACCCTCTGTCTCCTGGGTAGCAATGGAAGCTGCTGCTGGGCCAGTCAGGGTGGGGCAGGTGTGCAGGGGAGTGCATCGTGGGGCTGAGCTGCCAGTGAGGGAGATAGAGAGTTTAAAGCTGGCTCCAACCAGTGCCCCACCAGTTGGGATGAAGGAGGGCCAGGAAGGCTGGGAAAGCCTCTATCTGCCAGCTAAGTTGGACCACCGGTGGGCTGAGACGGTAGGGTGGGGAGGGTGTGCGGAGAAGTGCTGTGAGGCTGAGCTCCCAACAAGGGGAACGGAGCATTGGAGCCGGCTCCCATGGGCACCTGACCAGTTGGGCTGAGGGAGGGCTGGGAAAGCATCAGCCATCTGCCTTTTCTCCTCCAGAGAGCTCCTGCCAACCCCCATCTAGCTGGCACACTTTCATTGCTGATAAATCTTTCAAAGTGTGGCCTCTGTCTCAGCAGGACCAATGGAGTATGCCTGTCCTCCACAGGTGATAGGAGTCTCAGCTTCCCAGAGTGCTTCAACTCTCCTTAGTGTCCAGCCCTGTTAAGCACCAAAGCCCAGGGCAATGTGGACTCATGTTCCAAGAGAAGATATCCAGGGCCAGGTATGCAGGGCTTCTGAGTGTTTATCCCCTCCACATGCCATTCCTCTCCCTCCTGCTTGTGGGCTGGGACCGGGGAAGGGCTTGGGTCCCTATCAGTTGCAGCTCTGCCACTTTACCATTTTCAATGTGTTCTTCTCTTCTTCACTAGGTGTAGATGGTCTTTCCTGCAGTCTTCAGGTCATTTACAGGGTTAGTTGTATTTGCTGTAGTTGCTTCCTTGCCGTGTATGTGGATGGAGGTTAACTTGCTTCCTCCTCCACCATCTTTCCCACCCTTTATATTCTGATCCTTAAGACTCCTTTCTTCCTTGACTTATTCTGTAGGTCAGGACTCCCTGTTTTACACTGAACAGTAACAATGACATGAGCATTGAGCTGTGGCCTGGCCTACTTGCTTTAATTTAGAGAACTCTGAAACGCCATCTCAGAGCTCCCTATAAGCNGAGAATAGGAATGGGTGCAGTGGTAAGGGCATTTCGTGAGAGAATGAAGACACTGGCCTTGGCCACAAATCGGTCAGTGATGATGGACGGGTACCTCAGTGGGTGACAGATGGCCACATAGCGGTCATAGGCCATGACCATGAAGGTGCAGGACTCCATGGTGAGGAAACTGTTCATAATGAACATCTGTAGGAAGCAGGCAGAGAAGCTGATGGACCTGAGGTCAAACCAGAAGATGGCCAGGACCTTGGGGATGACGGTGAGGCAGAGCACCATGTCCAGCAGGGAGAGGAGGCTGAGCAGGTAGTACATGGGCTGGTGCAGAGCGGCCTCCCTCCAGATGGTGAGGAGGAGGGTGGCGTTGGCCCCCATGGCCAGGAGGAAGAGGAGGCTGAGGGGCAGGGACAGCCAATGTTGCCAGGCCTGGTAGTTAGGGAAGCAGATGAGGAGGAATTCAGAGACCAGAGCAGTAGAGTCGTTGGTGGGAGATGTCATGAGATAAATTCTAAGCTGAGAAGAGTTTACCTGGGTTTACATATGTAAGACACAGGAATTAGGCGAATAGAAAACAAAGCTGTGAAAACATTCACTAACCCTTACTCATCCAGAAAAATGATGATATATAGGAGAACAATCCCAAATAAAGGCAAAGTTTAGTGGAGACACATATGAATGGAAGAGGGGGCTTGGCAAATTATTTCTATAGTTGATTTGGAAAAATAAATGACTAGTTGCAATATTTAGAAGGAAAATAATGAAAAGAATTACCTCATTAAAACATACTGTAAAGCCACAAAATCTTTTCAGGTGATACTGACACATAATACTGACAAAGCAAATTGACTACTTATGGATCCCATAGGCCAGAAATGCTCACTAGCTTACAGAGTAATCCAGAATTAACAGTCATAAAATCATATTTAACTGTAGGTCTTTTCAGTGAATATTGTTGACATCATTTGTTAGATAGTGGTAAAAATTAGTTTATCCTAACTTTTAATCATATACCAAAATAAATTTGAGATTGAAAACTTCATGATTAACCCTCAATCCTATGATACGGTTGAAGACAAAATACTAATTAAATATAAAGAGGGCTCCCCAAACTCCCCTATCATTCTGATTTATTGTACCTCAAGCACAACCCATCCTGGACATACTTAATTCAAGACTGCACAAAAGAGTTCAATGTTCCCATAAATGTATACTGATAGGCAGTCTATTTTCATTAACATTTATGATCACCAACCTCAAATGAGCACTTAATAAGCAAGTCTTTTATAATAACCTCTGGTTAATTCACTCCTTCACCCATTACAAGCAATTTCCAAATTTTCTAAATTCTTTTAAATGCTAAATCCTCTACTTCCTCAGAAGATGACCTCTCCAACTGCTTCACAAAGACAGCAGAAGCTCTCAAATGCGAATTCCTCAATTTCCCTTGATAGATTCATAAACCCATCAATACCTATATCCTCTCTCTTCCCTTTGTACCTAGTAGACTCAAGGATCTATCCCCCCTTCTAATTCCAATCCTTCCGCTCTTATTTGCTGTCTATACACCATGTTTTTCTTAGGAACTTTGATCAATTAATTATCCATTCAATTTCTTACATATTCAACCTCTCCCTCTATAGATCCTTCACATGGATATTCAAAATGCTCAGGTCTCTCATATCTTAATAATTTCCATATCTACTTCATATCCCCATTTGGTGTAAAGACCATGACTTCAGTTTTGGACAAAGATACCAAATCTCTCTCTTCTTCCTCTTTCTTTCACACCCACACTTAAAGAATCAGAAGAGGCAAAGGACATCTAAAAGGAGATAAGCAACTGCTGGCTTCAATAGTCCAGCTGAGAAGTGATCAAGTATGTAAATAAATGGCTCTGAAGTGGCTCTCAAGATGCAGAAATGGGGCATCTTTTAGAGGTATAAATATAAAGCCATAAAGGGGGATTAACTGAGTAGTTCTATAGAAGGTAGGAATTCTATAGAACTCTATAGAAATTCTATAGAAGAGGGTAGGAATTCTGAAAATTTTTTGTCTCTTATGGACTAAATGACTGCTTTGCTCTGGCTCAACCATACTTAGAATAATGTGTCCAGTTCAGTACACCTTGATTTAAGGAACATATTTGAAATTTACCACCTAGAAGGTGTCCAGGATAAAGAGGACCTTAAGAAATCACAATGAGCAGCAATTTAGGAAAGTGGAGATATCTTCCCTAAGTGATGCCTTCCAAAAACAGGACCAATAGGAGACAAAATCACAAAGAAATCTGTTTCTGTTGAATAGAATCCCATATAATCATCAGAGGAAACTTTCTCTCTTTTAACACTACTTTGCTGAAACATTCTGGGGAAGACAATAACCAAATTTTTTCACCAGTTTTGTCCCTGAGCCTCACGAGTGTCATATTAAACTCTGAACATTGTCCCTGTTCCAGAACCATCCTTTCTTTCTCTCACATCCCTAGACTGCTTTTCTGGGCAGGCCAGATGGATTTTAATCATGTATTGTATGAAATTCCCAGCCATAGAAAATATGGGGTCCCTTGTATTCAATGATACAGAATTGCTAAGGCTACAGATATTCTCATCCAGGAGAAACCTAGAATTTCTCAATGTTCATGCATCCAGTACCACACTCGGGGCTTTTTTCTTCTTTTATCATGGGAGCCAATGTAAGAATGAGGAGAAGGTCTCCTGTTCTGAGTCCTCTGGCGAGACCAGCAAGGCAATGCTTCTCTCCCTTAGCCCTGGAACTCACAAGTGGGTGATGCAACAGGTTGAGTCCTGCTTCAGGATTCAGCTGCCTGCATCCGGTAATCAAAGCTGGAACTCCTTCCTTGGCTCTGATGCAAAACTCTAGAGGGTTTTACAATCAGCAGTCAGTTCTTCACACTGTCCCACCCCATTCTGCAAGGCATCTGGGAACAGCAGTCATTTAAGAAACTGTGACTGATGAGCTGGATCTCATGGGAACTTTCATCTCATCTCATGTGAAGGTGTTACTGGGTGTCAGAAGCTAAGATGTGCAGGACCGGATTTGAAACTGACTTAAAATTCAAATCTGTATCTATCTGCCTGACTCCACAGACCATCCTCTTAAACATGACCTTATACCACTTCAGCATCCTGAAATGTTATTTTGAAACTCTCCAAATTTCTTAACAAAAGTATATTATTTTCTGCTTTTTATGTTATCCTGAGTTCAACTGTGCTATTTGGTATCTACATAAATTTGAGCAGCTGATTTTCCCTATGTAAACTTCAGTCATTCAACAAGTATTTATTTATTATTATCAACCATTATTATCAACCATATGCCCAGCATAGATTAGTCACAGGGATAAAAAGATAAAGTAGTTAAGGTTCCTACCTGCATCAAGATTCTATCACAATAATTAATTAAATTATAGTATCAGTAGCTTCCCATTGTTCGTTAAATAAAATTAGCTTTCACAATATTGACTACTCAAGGCTACACATGACCTAGACTGTTAGCTTCACAAGCAAAATCCTTGTCAATTTTGTTCCTCATTTATGTGGTATCTCACACAGCATCTAGAATGTAGTAAGATCAACACATTTTCACCTAAATAATTCAGGTTCATACATAATCTGAATCCTTCCTACTTTGCCAGTGTAGTAAGAACCATTTTTCTAAGTGTGATTATTTCAACCTAAGACATTGCTGAATGTCTTTAGGGAGTTTGTGATGTGTTGAATAAAGTAAAACTAGTCAGCTTCATTGTGTGGGGTATTTTTCTTCCTTTATAAACAGAAGAAGAAGGAAAGGGAAGGGAAGATTTATGTTTAGGTTTTCTTTTTTTATCATTTAATCCTATGATACGGTTGAAGACAAAATACTAATTAAATATAAAGAGGGCTCCCCAAACTCCCCTATCATTCTGATTTATTGTACCTCAAGCACAACCCATCCTGGACATACTTAATTCAAGACTGCACAAAAGAGTTCAATGTTCCCATAAATGTATACTGATAGGCAGTCTATTTTCATTAACATTTATGATCACCAACCTCAAATGAGCACTTAATAAGCAAGTCTTTTATAATAACCTCTGGTTAATTCACTCCTTCACCCATTACAAGCAATTTCCAAATTTTCTAAATTCTTTTAAATGCTAAATCCTCTACTTCCTCAGAAGATGACCTCTCCAACTGCTTCACAAAGACAGCAGAAGCTCTCAAATGCGAATTCCTCAATTTCCCTTGATAGATTCATAAACCCATCAATACCTATATCCTCTCTCTTCCCTTTGTACCTAGTAGACTCAAGGATCTATCCCCCCTTCTAATTCCAATCCTTCCGCTCTTATTTGCTGTCTATACACCATGTTTTTCTTAGGAACTTTGATCAATTAATTATCCATTCAATTTCTTACATATTCAACCTCTCCCTCTATAGATCCTTCACATGGATATTCAAAATGCTCAGGTCTCTCATATCTTAATAATTTCCATATCTACTTCATATCCCCATTTGGTGTAAAGACCATGACTTCAGTTTTGGACAAAGATACCAAATCTCTCTCTTCTTCCTCTTTCTTTCACACCCACACTTAAAGAATCAGAAGAGGCAAAGGACATCTAAAAGGAGATAAGCAACTGCTGGCTTCAATAGTCCAGCTGAGAAGTGATCAAGTATGTAAATAAATGGCTCTGAAGTGGCTCTCAAGATGCAGAAATGGGGCATCTTTTAGAGGTATAAATATAAAGCCATAAAGGGGGATTAACTGAGTAGTTCTATAGAAGGTAGGAATTCTATAGAACTCTATAGAAATTCTATAGAAGAGGGTAGGAATTCTGAAAATTTTTTGTCTCTTATGGACTAAATGACTGCTTTGCTCTGGCTCAACCATACTTAGAATAATGTGTCCAGTTCAGTACACCTTGATTTAAGGAACATATTTGAAATTTACCACCTAGAAGGTGTCCAGGATAAAGAGGACCTTAAGAAATCACAATGAGCAGCAATTTAGGAAAGTGGAGATATCTTCCCTAAGTGATGCCTTCCAAAAACAGGACCAATAGGAGACAAAATCACAAAGAAATCTGTTTCTGTTGAATAGAATCCCATATAATCATCAGAGGAAACTTTCTCTCTTTTAACACTACTTTGCTGAAACATTCTGGGGAAGACAATAACCAAATTTTTTCACCAGTTTTGTCCCTGAGCCTCACGAGTGTCATATTAAACTCTGAACATTGTCCCTGTTCCAGAACCATCCTTTCTTTCTCTCACATCCCTAGACTGCTTTTCTGGGCAGGCCAGATGGATTTTAATCATGTATTGTATGAAATTCCCAGCCATAGAAAATATGGGGTCCCTTGTATTCAATGATACAGAATTGCTAAGGCTACAGATATTCTCATCCAGGAGAAACCTAGAATTTCTCAATGTTCATGCATCCAGTACCACACTCGGGGCTTTTTTCTTCTTTTATCATGGGAGCCAATGTAAGA